TATTCTATTCTATTCAGGTCACTCCATTGTGTTTACTAGTTCACCAGTTTTAGCCTGCCTGTGCTTGTTTTCCTCTCTTTTTTGTTGTGTTCGTAGCAGCTGTTGTTCCTGTCAGGGAAATATTAAACTGGAGAGACTATCGTGCATGTACGTTTTGTTTATTTAACAGGTGTGTTATCTGAGGTCGACATCATTACAATAAAGCATTCAGCTGCACAAGCAAATCATCCGTGTGCCATATCACCTCATATGTGGAGAAAGTCAGCCAGCAGGTCAATACCAACACTTTATTATTTATTATTCTTTATTTTTCTTCCCATAATTATTCTTTTCTTCTCTTGTTTTAAAACCAGATGTATAAGATATTGTTGATATTGTTGGTTCATGCTGCCATGCCACTTTTAACTTGATATAACAGGTATACACGGAACATATTGTCATAATATGATCAATAAAGTTCAATCTGTAGAAATGTTGGAATTTTTCACTAGTTTGCTGAATCATGTTTGTTTTATACAGAAATTGAACTGACAAAAGGCTTATTTTAAATTTGGAGGATAAATAACTGTTTTTGTTTCAGATCACAAGGAGCTGTCCTTCATGACGCCTGCATTTTCCAGGGCCTTTCTTCTGCGAGCAACAGCTTCTAAGATCTTCTTCCTGGGTCCGAGCTGGATGCGGATCCCTTTGAGGTCTTCATCAGAGCAAAGCATGAGTGCCTCCAAGTCAAGGTGCTCTCTGTTGAATGCGGGCGTAAAATCTGGCAAGGCGATAGAGGACAGGAACACATCCAAAGGAGAGGTTTCCTCATCTTCATCATCATCCAGTCCCAGATCTTCCTGTTCCCACGGCAGTGCGTTGTCATCCGTCATCAAGCCAGAGGTGTCTTCGTCTGCCTCAAACGGCTCACTTTGAACGAGGTAACCAAGGCTTTCATTGGCACTGCTGGGGATGTCGTCAGAGTCTAGCCCCATCTTCTTCCTGAACATCAGACCTCCAAGGCCGGGCCGATTGAAGATGGATTGTTTCACTTGGCCTCCATCGTCGTCGTCATCTCCGAAGCTGTCCATTTCTTCTAGCATGTTCTCGTCCTGCTCGTTGAAGACGTCCACAAAGTCTGGGTTCTCAGATCCGCTCTCTGGTTTGAGGAAGATAACGTTCCCACTTCCTTCTGACCTCTGCAGCGTGCCTTTGTCCTTCTTCCCAAACTTCTTCAGGAGTGTGCCTTTAATAGAGCCAACTTTATCGTCAGTGATGAGCTTGGAGAAGTGTTCGTTGACGCCCGTGATGGTGCCATCGTTTGACAGTGACGATGCCGTTCCTGCATCTGAAAAGGAGCCGGAGTTGCTTCCACGCTGCATTCTATCCATTTTGCTCTTGTGTTTTTTCTTCACCTTCTCACAGAGTTTCACACGTTTCTCTGCCTCTTTTTCTGCCTCTTTCTTCAGATTGGCGACCTTTTTTGGATTTTGGTTGGTCTGCTTTGCAGCAGCAGCGTCGAGGAAGCGCACACACTCCATGTGGTCGCGAGAAGCGGCGACATCCATTGGCGTGTGGAATTCATTGTCCAGAGCAAAAAGGTTGGCGCCGAAGTTGACCAGGAAGCTGAGGATGTGCATGTGGCCGTTACCTGCTGCATGGTGCAGGGGTGTGTTTCCCCAGATGTCACTCCTGTTGGGATCTCCTCTGTACAACACGAACACACACACAAGATTTTTCATCATTAGTGTTGATATTTTCATTATTTGGCTATTCTGTATTCCTGATTTATACCAAACTCCATGCATAGTAGTTTTTCATGAATTTAGGGAAAA